CCCCCCCCCCCTTCCCCACCGCTACACATATCCCGCCGCAACGTTATCACAACAAAAACCACGAGCAGCGCCCGAGCACTCGCCAAGAAGAAGGGGGTCAACCTGGCTACGGTGTCAGGCACCGGCAACTTCGGGCGCGTGACCGAGTCGGACGTGCTTGCCTCTCTCGGAGAGGCCCCCAAGGGTAACGCCTCTGCCGACGCCGACGAGGGCTTGGCCATGCGGGAGGAGCCCGACCTGCCGGACGGCCCCAAGGTGACATGTTGAGGAGCTCGCTAGAGAGAAGGGTTCGGGTTTGTGTTGTGGAGGGAGGCGTGTGGGCTCTGTTGGTGTCTGATTGCTGCGTCTGTGAAGAGGTGTAGAGAGAGGCATGCGTGGGATTTGTTGGTGTCTGACTGGTATTTGTAGGGGCGTGCAGGTGTGGAGGGAGGCGAGTGTGGGCTTTGTTGGGGTCTGATTGATAGGTGGGGGTGGGCAGGTGTGGAGGTTCGCCGTCTGTCCGCCGGAGGGAGAGCGGTGGAGGCCCGATTTTTACGATGTTACCATGGATTATACAAAATTTTCGTGTTGTGTTGGGGTTTCTGTAAGCACCCTACCACCTATTCGCTCTGTTTACTTGCTGCCGGAGTACTTGCTCTGTCAAAGTGGAAGCCGGAACACTTCGTGCTTGGGCAACTCCTGCGGCATTCCGCTTGCTTCCTTTCTGGCATCTTTGGTCGTAAGCACTGACGATGTGGTTTTTTGTTGTGAGCCAAGCTTCATTGCCTACAAGTACGTTTTGTTTGTCGGAAACCACCTGCCTACTGCAACCCAAGCGCTTGCCGTGCTTGCTGCTGCTCAATATCCGTACGCGTTTTGTACGGGGTAATTGCTTGATGATGCTTGGTACGTCTCTGATCTGAGTTGCGGGGGGCACGCGACTGTGAGTACGGGATTGCTCGTGGGCGAAGTGGTCTATACTGAAGCTCCGTTGTTAATTTGGCAAGACCTGACAAACAGCTTAGCGGTCTAGTCTGGAACAGTCTAATTTTCTCCCAAACAAGCTGCCTCCCGTCATCTGCTGCTACTGTTTATTTCTCGGAATGCAGGCCATGGATGGCATGCAGAAGGCGGTGGCGAAGAACATGGAGGCCACGATGGACGTGCCCGTGTTCCGAGTTTCCCGCAAGATCAGGACCGATGCCTTCGACGACATGTACCGGCAGCTCAAGCCTAAGGGGGTCACGGTGCGGAGATAGCATGAGATCGCATGCATACACCTCTACTGTGCGACTTGAGGGATGCAAATTTTGATGGTATATATCTTGACTGGTACCAAGTTTGTTTCGCATGTGATGACGGAGACGAAGGTGCACGGAAGTATTGCTCAACAGAAGTAGATATCTGCGTATCTGTTGTGAAGCAACGGGTCCGGAAATGATCGAATGGCGTCCTTGGTTTTAATACTACCCGGGGGCTCGAACCTCCCACTCAGAGTACTTGCCGTTTTGGTACTCGAAGCCTGTGAATTGATTTCGCTGAGCATTGGGTATTTGCCATCACTGCACGTGATATGTGTCGATATGTTTGGATGTCTATTTTGGACCACGCATGCGATTTGTCGGATCTTGTTCGTCGTGGGTGGTGTCAGGTGTCAGCCATGCTCGCCAAGGCCTGCGCTCTGGTGCTGGAGGACTACCCGATCGTGAACGCTCGCTATGAGCCGGGGCAGACGGTCTATCAGAAGGACATCAACGTTGCCATGGCCGTCGCCATTGACGGAGGGCTCATCACACCAACCCTAAAGGTCAGCCTGGTCGCGGAGTTTATTCTGTCTTCCCAATGTGGAGATTGACCCCCTTGGATGGGGGTACGCATAAACTACAACCTGCTTGTACCCCGAAGTTTTTTCGAGTCTAGTGAAGACAATCTTGGCGCGTGGAGGTCAGCCTTGTCTCGAAGGCGTGTGTCGAAGTGTGCATGTTCGTATTTGGCATCGACCGCGCTATCTGGCGGACCAACGAAAATACGCCAGTCTCAGTACGGTTGAAAGCAGAAAAATGTTTTTAAGACCATGATCTGGGACCCTGTGAGGGTTTGTGTGTTTGTTTTTCGTCCGCAATGCCTGTGATGGCAAGAGGTAGGGCACAAAGGTGATCCTTGTCGACGAGATGTAGATTTCCCCCCCCCCCCCCC